CCTCCGGAAGTCCATGATGGCAGTTTTGCTGTGGAAGACCAGGGAAATTACATATTTTATTTCTTACCTAATCTCCTTGTTGGAATGGAAGAAATTTTATCATCACAGAAGAAATTTTATCATCACAGAAAAGGCTTCTACCTCTACTCTCAAAGTGGAATGAGCACTTCCAAAGAAATATTGACAATTTTTTAAATACTCAACTTCAAATGATTAAAACCAGATTCTTAATAGGGATTAGCTAACTCTTCTGGGATTATACACAGACTGAACTCTTTCAACTCATCCTTCTCATTGGAAGGCTTCAATCTCAGACAAAATTCAAACAAAAAATAATAAGTTCAGGTGACTGGCTGAAACAACACAATACAAAGTACAAGTTAAAGAACAAACTACTCAAACCAAATTTAAGTTTCACAAAATTCCTAGGACTTGCATAGGGACTGCAAAACTGGTACTACACAGAAGTCTCACCTGATTGAGGATAACTGATGAATAGAAGCAGTTTGGGAGGTCTTGGACACTGCCAATGGAAAGTCTCAGACCAAAACTAACCACAGCTGCCAAAGAAGAAAAAAGCCGCTCCCACCCAGCTTGCATACCCTTTTGTTCTAACAGTGGTTCCAGATACCATTTAAGCCGTTCCAGAAGAGAAGATCAAGAAGCTAATGTAAGTGGAATATCCCAAAGCGCATGGGATGGACAAAACCAGCTTCTACTCCTTTGATACCAATGAGCACTAACAAAGGCTTATTTCAGCCCATATCTTTTCTAAACTACCCTGAAAGAAGACTCCATCAGATTTCTCACCAATGCAGACAATAGAAGACACAAGTGCCAGGCTTCTTCATTCCATCAGTCTTCCATTAGGTGCGTAATCTTATAACATTACCTCCTCCAGCTAATGACGGACTTGGAGGAATAAAGGCTTAGTTTTGTTCCAAGCCCATGAAGGATTTAAATTGAAATGAGATTATGAAGATAATATATTCAAAGAACAAAGCTGACTAAATCCAAGAGTATATCTAGCAGACTTCTGCTCCTCATTTCTTTCGAGACTGCCCCAATGTAAGAACTTTTGCACTCTCACCAGTGCAAAATGACTCTCTGGTCATCTGTTACTTTGGCACCATACGCAATCCACATTTACAAAGCAGCATGTAAAATACTGGTTGTATGATCTGCTGGTATCAGAATTATCACAAGCAGTCATCTTGGATCTCAGCACTCAGGGCAGGGCTGTTACTGTATCAAGATCAGTCAGAGCCCAGAGGGAAACAGGCATGTTAGAACTTGACACCATCAAACCCACCCACAGTTATATGACCGGAACACAACAGTGGTCTTGGAAGGATTTTAACCAAGCACTTTTTGGAGACATCATAAGTTGTTGCATACAACCAAAAGTACAGAAACACAAATTTTCCAGGGGGAAAAAAAAAAAACCCAAACAACACTATTTCAGGAACACGGGCTGAGCATCTAACTAAATCCAGCTGCCTTCTATTGGACAGTTATTTCCTCTTCTGGTAACTCTTTTTTACATCTTCTGTGAATCAAGTAGAAAGCAATCCAACTTTTTCACTTTGTGGAAAACCTTTACTGGCTTTTCTGTTGCTCTTATTTTTGAAAAGCATAGCAGAGAACTGTCTAGATGACCTAATCCTTCCTAACATCGCACAACAATACCAAAGGAGAAACAGAGTATTTTCCTCTATAGTACTCTTAGTTGAAGTGAAGGTTTACTAGAGAAAAGTGACAAAGTTACAAGGACCAAACAAACAGTTTGTATTTCTGGAGTAATAAATCAAATAACATTATAGTCATATGAATGAAGCATGTAATTTCTAATCAAAACATTGCTGTTCTTTGGTTACCAGAACATGAGATTCACACAAAAGTCCAGCTGTTGTGCATGTAAAAGTCAGTCACAATAGTGTAACTCTTCACAATCTCACTGGACATGCAGCAGCTGTTGCTCAAGTTGCCAAAAATAATCCTTTGGATAAACCACATCTCCTTTGCTTAATATTGTGGTTCAACTTAAAGTACCAGAATGTTATTTTTTAAGATTTGTCATGTTTTATTCACAAGACATTCAGTCTATTACTATCATTCTGTTATGGACAAATAAAAATGCAACAAAAGTCACATTAGTCAGAAACATTCTCAAGCATCCTCAAAACTATGACTCTTAACAGCTTAACAGGAAAAACTTTTTTTTCCTCCCTCCTCAAAGATGGTGGGACAGTGTATTTTATACAAACCTTGCCAACAGGAACATTCTTAACGTCTTCCACAAACACAACTTCCCTCAGAGACCACTGCTCTTCATTCACTTTCTCCTCTTCTTTTGGGGCAGGAGTAGATCGTCGTCGCTCTGAGACAAAAAAAGTTATTACCAAAAGAAGACTTGAAATATTTAATCAAAGCATCAAAAATGCAATGTTCTATAAACAACAAACTTTTCACCCCAAAAAGATTATCAATGGACAAACCTAGAAGTTAAGAAGAAGTTAAAAAGAATCTGACTTTAGAAGTCAAAGCTACGTACACCACACCACTTTCATGTTTTTCTATGAAAATAGTACTAATAAAGCCTATCTGATAAATAAAGCAATTTAAGGACATTTAAGCAAAACAATTAGAATATAAGAAATTGTTTTGGCAGGGCTCAGATATTGATGCCGTAAGGGAAAAGGCTGACAATGTAAGACCTTTCATTCAGCCCTGCTACAGTGCTTTATATCACCCTTACAAAAAGTCTGCTTGTCCACTATGTATGGATTTTCTGGTAAACATCTAGAAGAGTAGCAAATGAGACAGCAAATAGCTATGTGAGCTAAGAACAATTGCAAATCAGTTAGATTTGCTGCAAAGACATTATATGAACAGTAACTGTAGCACACAGGATCAAATTTAAATACATAACATGGCTAAATTAACACTGACAAGAACCTTTGATTTCCTGAATTAAGTATATATAGTATAATTAATATTACCAATATATTTAAAGTAAGAAGCAGAGAACTCCTAAGCTAAATATGAAGTTAACCTCAAACACTAGTTCAAAATACAAAGCAAAGTTATAGTCAGTGAAAAATTATAGTTGAAAGATCTGCAAAAGAGAAGAAATCAGTAGCAAGACTCTACTAGTAAAATTAATTAGTACTGCAGATCTAAGCGTATGAGATTGTCAGTCACTGAATGAGGCCATTTGATTCTCTAGGTGAACACTTTCTGAAACTGCAGTATGTGAACAATTAGAAGAAACAAGAGCAGAGAGAAGGTTTCTTCAAATTATGACATTGTAATTAGCCCTTTATAAATGTATGGGTTTAAATGGAGAAAAAAAATGCTTAAAAGGTCAGTTACATGAATTCTAACGCAGCCTTTTGGGTTTTTAAGTAGAACTTGTACTATAGAACTTGACTGCTTTTGTACGTTAGTAAAGAATGTCTAGTTTTAGACATCTTACGTAACAGATGACAAACTATTACTTTATGCACTGAAGTCCACCTGCAAGGCAAGCTGTACAAGAACAGCTTAATCTTAAAAGGAATTTCACAAAACAAGTTCAACTTCTGGGCTGTAAAGAAACTCACTATCACATTGCAATTAGACATAAACAACTTTATCTTCAGACTTCCTCTTGATCACCTCCTGAAAGACACTTTTGATTCTGAGAACTGTTATGCTTGCTTAGATATGTCAAGTAGTCACTGCTTATATGAACACATTTAAACTTAACACTGACAATTCACTGATTATCCAAAGACTATTACAAAAGCCTTTTACATATATTGCAGTTCAGACTGAAAGACCAAAAAGGATCCTAAAATTAGTACAGAATCCTTATAGAACTGGCTTTTATGAAAACTTCTTATCTACACAAATATTTTATGTTACTATGAGCTACACATTACTTACTATATGGCATTGACGCACTGCTTGCTATTGAAGATGCATCACTACAAGTGGAAGCTGGGGATGGTGGAGGACCCATCTCAGTTTTCACTGGTTCCTGTTTGCTTTCAGGTCTAGAATAAAAGTTGTTACTTAGAATGAAGAAAGAAAAAGGTGAAATCTTTTCCATGACAATGGACAAAGTGTTGGTGTGTCTCAGCCGTATTCCTTTAACAAGACTTAAACAAAATAAATCCATATTTGTGAACAACCATTCTAACTGACAAGGCTATACATCTGATGTTGGGAATGGTGCTATGCTGCTTAATCAGGAATTAGCTTTCTAACATTAACTCAGAATAGATACAATATTACAGAAAATAAACATCCTTAAATGCACTTCATTTGAAGACAGGAAGAATTATTAGCCTTATACAGTAACCTGAAACTCTAGAACTGCTAAACTTTTTCAAGCTTTTCTTGAAACGGTTTAAATCTGTTTTAAGAAACACTTAAATGGCAATTGCCAACCCAACAATTTTTTATTTTTTATTTTTTGAAATGATTGAGGTCTCTCAATGCCAAGAAGAAGGGCCTGAAAACAGATAGTTCCATAACAAAACCACTTTCAGTTATTCAAATATCAAAATCTTGGAAACTTTATGAAACACTGGAGGAAAGTCTTCATTTAATACTCCCTTTGCATTTCACTTTTCCATAATGGTTTCACACAGCTGAGAGGCCTTTCCTGCAATGAGTATTTCTGCACGTTTAGCAGAGTTTATACGATTCTAGCTTTCTTGTAAAGAAGGCAAAAAGTTCAAACTGATAAAAACCTGACCTTCCTTGTTTTCAATTATTAATGTCACCAATTCAAGAGAATATAAAATAAATGTTCTATGTGTATGCGTGTGTGTTCTCAACACTTACTTTGCCTCTGTAGTTTTGCTAGCCTTCTCCATGTTTTTCAAGCTCTCAGGTGATCGAAGCTGAAATCGACAGCTATCATTCATGTTCCAAACAGATTCCATTAACACACCCACTTTAGGAATTCCAGCACTGATTGAAAAAGCAACTGCTCCAGCATGATAGAGGGGGTTATTCCTTAAACACACCTACAGATAGAAATATTTATTTCTATGAGAATAATGGATTATGCTGAGGGAAATAACACATGCATGCATTTTCTTGGTGACATATGTAGTTGTCAAAAAATAAGAAAACTTATTGAACAAGATGAAGAGGAAAATCAGCATGATGTACTATGCAATTTGCTAGGGGAAAAAAAAAAAAAAGAGTCTGTTGTGCAATTCACAGCTGAAAGCAACAGCTTTAACAGTGCAACTGTTTAATATATAACATTGAAGTGCTCAACCGCAAAAGGAACAATTCATCCAGTAACAAAGGCTCATCCCAGAGTTGATCAGAATGTATTGGGAACTAAAAGAAATGTGCTTCCTGGGAAGGAGCTGTTTTGTCTCATAGTAGTTCTAATACAAATCACAAAAAGAATCCTACACCTCTGTACCATCTATTAACCTTTTTGGTTAAGGCTTCAAACCAAAGGCCTATCTCACTGAATAAATAAATCAAACCCAGACTCTAATACTGCAAGCACTTAAATGTCAAATAATTTACAAAGCTATGTGCTCTATTAAGAATCATACTTCTATACTTACTTTCAAAATACAGAATCAGTAGGTAAGTTAAAATGGAAATACTTTGTATGAGTACAGCTTGTTCATGTTTGCAGCAATAATCATACTTATAAAACAATAACAGCACTAACTGGACACATCAATTTACAGTCATATAATTAAAACATGCTATTTTAATTCCATATTATTGATACAACTTTTATGCATAACAAGAATAGAACCTAATTTGTTTTGTTTGTTGTTGTTTTTGTTTGTTTGTTTTAAGAGCAGGCTGTAAGCTCATCACATAGCACTGTAAAAATGCCACTTGTGACAGCTGCACTTGCCTGTGTTCCAACGGTTATGTTTGGCATAGAGGAGATACCAGCACTAGACTTAGGCTTCTTATTTTTCGCTCTGGCCTTTTCTAGCATTTTCTTCCTTTGGCTGAAAGGAACTACACCCCTGTGGAAAAAACACATATTATTTTAAAAAAAGGCTATGAAAGAAATGCTTTGTTTATAACTTTGAACAGGTTATTCCTTCTACTTAACGCAGTCTTGATCAAATGTACAAGTCTCTGTGCCACCTTCTCGAAAATCTCAAAGCACTGTAGAAATGACATCTTCTTCTACATTCACCCCCACTTTCCAAATTCATCTCAACTGGCCAATTTATTAGGAGGAGAAGGAAGAGCATGTAAGATATGTCACTGCCAAACGGCTTTCCTAGTGGTACAAAATGCTGCAAGACCTCCGTCGCAAGATGGTATGTTCCAGTCAAACTTTAAAGTTGAGAGCTGTCCCCTCTGAACGTGATATGTTTCCCATGACTAGTGAAAATTTCCAAAATTTGCAGTCGTTGCGGAAGAGGATAAGCACTGGGGAACAGTATAAGCTTTTTTGTTTTTAGATTCTAAAAGCTTCATTTTATTTCTGGGGACATGACCGAAGGAATCTAGGACTCTATGACAGACTTAAGCTGCAAGAGGGGAAAAAAAGAGGACACTTCTTTTGTAATTGGATCCACACAGTTTAGCCAAAACTAACACCTATGTACACAGTTAAGCACGCTTAATATTTTGATACTTCATGTTTTAGTCAATGGGTTTTAGAGTTAGATGCTTTTATTTGAAAAGCTCCTTCATGTTAAGTAAAACATGAAAAGCATCAGTCCTGTGAAGCACTGGAAATTGAAATCCTGCCTAGTGTACTACAGAGCATTTTAATGAAGGATATCCACAGTAACAAAAGCTTCTGCCTACATCAAACTGATTAACATAAAATCACCATTGCTGACATTTAACCCCTCCCAGAAATTACATGTTGGATAATAAATAAATTTCTTTCAAAGATTACATATAAATGCTAATAAGTCTTTTTATATATTGCATAATTATTCTAAAGGCAGTAAAAATGGCAGGTTCTAATAGCCAGGTATCTCCACTGCTATGGCTTATGAGTTTCTATACTAAGAGTAATTACTCTACGGGAGGTATGTCAGCCATGACATAACAAAAGGGACAAGAACCAGAGAGCTGTAGTTTTGAGATTTGGGACTAGAAGTTAGAATAAAATATACTTGTGTTTAAGTCTACAAGTCTAGCTACAATTCTACTTAAATATTTTCCAGAGACTTATAAGAATTTAGTGATAAAGCTGTTTTATAGAATGAATTTTCAATGCTCTGATTTCCAACTCATCATCAAGTATTTAATTCATCCATGCCTAAAAGCTACTTGAGCTTTGGGCATGATATGTAATGCAACAACTCCTGACACACTGACAAAAATAATGCATACCGACAACGCATTGGTAATATTCAATGCATTCACTCAAAATGGAAATTAATTTCAGAGCTCTTTTGGGAGTGTTATTTTTGAGGGTTTGGTGGATTGGGGGGGGGGGGGGTTTGGTTTTGTTTTTTTTTTTAAACATACGCTTCTTAATTATCAAATTGTTAGCTAAACTATTTTAACTAACATCTCATATTTTACAATGTTTAGAAGTGTTATATTTTAACAACAAGCTCCAGGGGAGGCATCTGATGTTATTTCTCTAAGATTAGGACACAAACTAACAGATCAAATTTTCTAACAGAGCCTGACAGAAGAATGTGGACCTCATACATGGGTAAGTTTGTTCCACATTTATAAAGGCCTCAAAGGCATAAATAAAAAGATAAAGAAGTTATCACTGGATCCAAAAGCTTTAGGCATTAAAGAAAGGAATAAATATACTTTAAAAAGGGAATCTAAGTTCAAGTGCAGAGCTGCAGAACTCGGAACAACTGTAGTTCAGTAGTTTTGCAATGCTTCTCAGAGTCTAGGACATGAAGACATCCAGTGGATCTACACTGTTGTACATAAACACAGTATTTACTTACCACCAATACAAGTTGTTCTCTAGTTGGGCACACGTATAAAGAGCACAACAATGTAAAGAAACAATCCGTTCTCCCTGAAGCTCCGAGTATGTCTGTGCCGTGTGTTCTAATTTGGAAGCTACAGAGCTTAAAGTTTCATCTACCCATGTAGCAACCTAAGGGAGAAGGGAAGAAAGGAACAGAGAAGGTAGCGGGGGGTGGAGGAGGGGAAGAAAAAGAAAAATTTCACCTTAGTTGCACCTTTAATATAGTATTTGCTGATTTTGAAAGGGGAAAGAAAAAAAAAAATCCATCCACCTAACAAAACGCAAACAATTCCCTGTGGAATTTTATACCTTGTCACCTTTTCTTTCCCCAAAAGAGAGCTTTTCAGGATTTTTCTCCCTCTCTATTTCCAGTCCCCAACAAAACCAAAAAAGGTCAAAAAAAAAAAGATACACAGAGAGGTGTCATAAAAACACTTCAACAACTGCATATACTTTACCAAATCAGTTTCAAGTTCACTCTTAACTGGGCAGAAAAGCGTGTTTAGATAACTTACCCTACAGCACTGAAAGCTTCAATGCCCTTAGTGTTTCTAGTAAATATATACAGAATATTAATAAGCTGCTCTATTGTTAACCCAGTGTCAGTTTCTACTGTAACAGCAAAAATTATTTCAGATAATAAGATAAAACAGGTATCTTTTCACTGTTTCAGCTGTAAATGTCAGATTTTTTTTTTACCTTTTTGCATTTTTACAAAACACCAGTTGGGTTTCTGGTTTGTTTTTACAGCTGTACAGGTGAAAAGAAGTGGAATAAATGAACAAATTAAGTACTTTCTACTACTGATGAAGCTGAATAATCAACTTCTCTACAATATACTGCAAGTAATTGAAAAAAAACCACACAGAACAGCTTTGTCAAATTGGGCAAGCAGCACACATCTCATACCTTGTTATTTTCAGTGGCAACAGTTGCTCTAATACTATTTGCAGAAAGGAGCACTATCTTTTCATTGGTTAATCCCAAGAACATGGCTCGTGGATGATGTAGTGAAGGATTCTTTGGAAACAAAAAAATATATTTTAGATATTCAAAGCATATAAATCATTCCCAAAGTAAGTGTTTAAAGATATACAGTACCTGTGCATTTCTGTAAGGCTCTGATTCACTCCACTTCCATTGATAAAGTTCTCCTTTACTGCTAACAGCCACAAGCTCAGAATACAGAGCTCCGATAGAAATAAACTTTGTTCCATCCTACAAATACAGAAATACAAAGTCTAAGACAGCAATATTGTAAATATATACATAAATGCAAAAAAAAGAACTTGTAACTGTTTTTTTTCAGAGTTCCCATGAAAGCTGAACTTGAAAATGAAGATATATCCAGCTTGTCTCAAGCTCAGCGTGCCCTCAAATAAACACACACACAAAAAAGTATTAATGCTTCTGATAGAACAAGGGAAGAAAGAAATAGATATTATTTTGCTGAAGTTTAGCAGGAACATACGCATGGCAATTAACCTGGACAGTTTATTAAGAGCTTCCACAATATTTTAAGAACACAACACTGCTCATAGAATTAAAGATGGGAAGATATCTTGACTTCTGAAATTTTAAAAAAAGAGTTTCCCTTTAAAATTCTGGCTTTTTGAAACGAACAAAAAAGCAACGTAATTCCATTATTCCATTCCTAAGTGCACTCATGAAGGTATCTTCCAGCTACCCAAAAAAAGTCAATTATCAAATTCACTGCCTCATCAATTAAACAATTCTTATATTTCACTTCTGAAGGTAAATAACTGCAAACAAGATCAAGTTTAAAAATAAACATATCAGCATGCTACATGTCACATTAATGCATCACTATGACCTGATATATTGGAAAAGTTTCTAATCATGGGCTATTCCCCCCATCCTTTTCTGCTTGTTAACATTTTACCAAAACTCATATGGCATCTTTCTACTACTTGCATAGTACCACTTTGCTCAGTTGCTTCATCCTGTACTTTACCCAGGTCTCACAGACGTGTTCCCCCCATGTTAGGTTTGGTTGTATATCAATGTTGCAGCAATGATGCAACAGTTACAACTTCATTTCTTCCAAGTTCCTGCTCCCCCTTGCACTGAAACAAATCTCCAACTACAGACCTGTGCATTTGAGTGATTTCACACAATGTTTATTTCTGTTTACTGAGAAACATTTGCAAGGCTCATCCATTTGCTGCTCCTCAGCAAGTGCAGCTATAGGACAACCATGTTCTTTCTAAACTTCTTTACTGCTAACAGCTAAAAGTTCCCTTCCACTTAAAGGAGAATACAGCTTTTTAAAAAAATGAAAAGAACTTAAACTAGTATAAAATCAAATGCTGTCTTCTACAGCTACAAATCTGAAAGACCAGTATGTCATAACTAGTCTTCTCTGTAGTAGTTATCTCCCAGATCAGTATCTTGAGCTGCCTCTCAGATTACAATATACAACATTTAAGCAATTCAACCACCTGATGGGAAACTGAACTCTTGTCAGACCATTAAGAAAAGCCCACCATCCAGTACATTTATCTGTCCCCTAAATTAAGAGACTTTTCTTTCAGCTACGGAAGTTTACAAGTGGAAACATTTTTTGTTTCATAAATGTTGATTCACACTTTTTTTTTTTTAAAACCATTTTCATGCCCAGAAGTGCACATTTCAAAAGGTATGAGTATGTTCTTGAGTAACACAGAGTCAGTACATCTCTTACCAATAGCTCAAAATGTCTACCAATATTTTGGGAAAGAAGAGAAAGAAGGCAGCAGGAAAGGACAGAAGCAATCACAAGCAATTTTCTTTTATGACCTGTTAACAGGATCTAGAATTACTTAAATCGTAAGACAATTATTTTGCTCTGGAGGGCATCTACCAACACAGCACAGAAGTAGCACAAATCTAATCTGTGTCATGATTGTCGTTGTATAAATATTGCATATTCTGAGAAAGAACTGCCATCAGAACCTACTGTAGTCTAATGAGATGCATCTCTACTCCATCAGCATAAATGAATCATCAGAAGTTACTTGGCCTAATGCCTCAAAATTAAGTATGGAAAGCAATTAATTTTTGCTCCATGACAGTATCATTACGGCTTTTAATCTTCCTAATATGTCTTACAACTTTTTATAAACAGTTTTATACCACAACCTCAACACTAGAGACCTGCCATTTGAAATTTTTCTCTCCCTTCCATCAAAATACTAGCAATTGTGATCTAAATGCTACACAGGACCAATGCTGCACACACCTCCATGAGGCCATTCACAAGACGAACAGCTCAAAGATGCATGAACAAAATGACAGCTCTGGTTCTGTAACTGGAGTCTTACATGTTCAACTATAGATTCCGACTTCATTCCAGAGAAATTACATACTTGGAAATTATGCAGATTGCTGACAAAATCTTAGTATCTCAATGGCTAAACAGAAAATACCTACTTGAACAAGCTGAAGGCTCAGCTTGCACCTAACTACAGTCTAGCAGGAAAAAAATGGCCATACTTGCCATACTATAAAGTGGCTCTGATAACGCATGGCACAGTGTTGATACAGGGCAGTGTAGACTAATAGCACTCCAGTCTAACACAATTTGAACTATCAAAAGAATTCATTAATTGACTTGAATTCTTGAGCAGTTGATTTCACTTACTTGGTGGAGAAAACTCAGTACCTAAGCAACATGTCTCAACATCATTAGTCTCAGATGGCGGGTGAAATTGATGCATTTGGGAACATTATCAGCTTTCCAAAAGTTTAATCCATTCCTCTCAGGTTGGTACTTTACCTCCCATAAACACAAGTTAACCACCCTCACCATGGCCTACCGCAAGTCTGCCTTAAATGCTAAACGTCAAAATAATGAAAAATGAAGGAAAAATATTTGCAAACAAGTTTGCTTATTTTGTAGTGATTCCTCACGTACTTGAATCTCTCCCCTAGGTTATTGTCTTTTCCATTAACATTTCAAGATCTCCTTTCCAATTCTCAAAATGGAAGAAACATCTGAACTGGCCTCTCAGCTAAATCATCTCCCTCAGGATTCACCTTGAAGAGTTTCTGTTGGAAAATACCACCAACAAAACTTCAGAGTGGGGCTATAGCAAGAAAGATGCAGAGCAAATTCTTATGAGCATTCAACTGAAGGACAGGATGAAAAGTTTAACTACTTTTGGATAAAGATGAAAAGCTTTTCCAGTAAGACACCTTCATTTAACTGGAAGCTAAGGTTTATATGAGTGCATATGCAAACAAGTATATTAGAAGTTCAGTATATTTAAATTGAACAACTGTGCAACTAGATATCAGAGCAAGTTAAGTCCATAAAAGATGCCTAATAAGAGACTGCAATAATTGTCCTAGGGCAGGATCAGCTGAGTTTGCAAATAACAAAAAGCCTCATCCAGGAAAAAAAACCCCACCCTAATTTAGTAACTAAGTTTCAGAGTCAGAGAGAAGAATGGGGTTAACAGGAAAAAAAACATTCCTGAAGTAGTAAAAAACCAGAATAAAACAACAAAAAACCCAACAGTAATAATGGCCATAATAATGTTACCAAAACACAGCAGTGGAAATAAAAAAGATAACTTAGTATTCCAAATCTAAACTACATTTATTCTTTGATGCTAAAACCCCTGAAATCTCTCTCTACCCAAGCTAGATGACTCTCTCATTCTACCTTTGTGACAAACCAAGGGGGGACACACAAAAGCTGCCAATTTTCACTGACACAGGAGTTCAACATTACTGGCTGAAAAAAGTAAAATCACAGTTTAGACATAAAAGGTCTGGTAGGGCTAACAACTATTAGACAAACATTCTTTTTAGGTATCTTTATTTCTCACTTTGAATGCCCAAATGAGGATGACAGCAGCTAAAGGTGAGCTGCTGCAGGATGAAATAAGCCTCTAATTCACCTCCCTCTTCAAGCTCTCTATCTATATTTAGTCTGAAAGGAAAAAACAGAGACATAGCAAAAGAGAGCGTGACATATCAAAATAGCAACCCCAAAGATACTGCGGACAGACAGAAATGGGAACACTAGAAAGACACCTCAAGTCCATAAAATTTGGTCTAATAAACATAGATTATCAATTCCATTCCTGGGAAGTTTCTTGGTTGGTTTGCTTTTTAAAGTCATTTCCCCAAGCATCTAGTTAATTCATAAAAGTAAATGACTACAGATACCCAGTTAGCAACATATACCTGGTGTTCCTATTATTCTTGTATCTCATGTGGGAATTATTTCTTGCCTTGAAAATGGAATGAGGGTTACAAAGAAAACCAGCTAATCAAAGCCAAAGGGATGCTGAAGGAGCAACAAACACTCGTTTAAGTTATTGGTCAACTCAAAACACAACTGCAAATGAATGTCAACTTTCACCGTTGTTGCTTAAAAGTTCAACCCTCAAACTGAAAGTACCTCTGGGAAGAATACCGCTAATAAAAAAAAGGTTTCCTTGACGAAGTTTAAATTGTTTCATGAGTTTCCTATTGCCTATTAAATGCTTTGAGCACCTAAGTAAAAAAAGAAAAAACCCAAACCTTATGATCTACAGCAGTGCCTTCAAAACACATGGAGAAGAAAATTAAAACAGTAATAACAGAAGCACAGCTATAAGGGTGTAACTAGCTATTTAGAACTTTCCTAAGTGCATAATAAAGAATATGCTTTATTACGTTATCTCACATAAACTGAGACACAATATTCAAAAAGGAAACACTGAGTATTTATTTGGAAAAAAAACAGATCCATTGCACTGCATGCAAATAAAATAGTAAAAAAGTTTCAATACCTTATCTGGCCACCACTGCAAGTCTTCTCCCAAAGAAACAGGACTTTGAACAGGTGTATTCTTCTTGTCCAGGTTTGTTTCCCCTTCCTTACTTGTAGAGCCTCTTTCATTATCAAATGAGGCTCCATCAAGCCACCTTCGTTCACGCAAACGTAAAACGGACTCACGTTCACGCAACAGCTCAGAGTCTCTCTCTAAGGGAAGAAGGAGAACTGGTATGCAATTGGGTCACACCAGTGGGATAAAAGTAAGCCACTCTCTAGTAAAGACCCTTCAGGATGCAACTAACAGCAGTTAAATCTACTCACACAGATTAAAAATAAAGTCCTGTCATGCAACATTCAATATATTAACCCTTTCAAGCATATATACTTTAGAATTGCTAAACATAAAAATAAGCTAGAAATAAAGAAGTCTTACAGTTTTGTGCACTATAGAAAAATGGTAAAGCATTTTCACTTACATCATAAGAGGCCAAATACATTTAACATTGCAATTTAAAGTTTTATAGTAGAATACCCAGTTTTGTAGTAGTTTTATCAATGTAGTAACCACAACAAAAAAAGAAATCTAAGTCTATATAATCTCTTAGATATCTTTATGCAAACCAAAAAAGAGTATTTATTAGAGAGTTTCATAACAACTTTCCCAAAAGAACATTAATTTGAAAAGGTTAAAGAAAGCAAGCATTAAAAAAAAGCTCTTGTATACATGTTTGATAATCCAACCCCTTTTGTTTAAAGCAATATTCCATAGGACTGGATTTAATAAATTAAAGTGTATCTGTTTTGAGTAATCAAATGAAAACTTTTCAAGAGTCAGACAAGTTTTAAAAAGGATCCTTGTAGGAAAATGTTCCTTACCAAAATGCTTCCCCTTCAATTGGCCTACAAACTGTCTAAAGCCAGTACTCTGCAGTTCGCTCATGCAGATAAATTTTTTAAATCAGGTAATCAAACTAACTTTCCAAGAGTCAACTATGCATGGAAAATAAGGATTATAAAATTCGTGGTAACGTCTTATATAGAATAACCTTAGGAAAGGAAAAAAAAGGAGGAATTTAGAAGGAGTTATGTCAGATGCTGAATATTCGTACATGCACATAATGCATTTAACCTATTAAGTACTTCACTTATGCTCACAAAAATCAAATGGAATTACATGTATGAGATGACCACATTATTATATCATAGTTTCAACAAATTACGCCAAGTCTTGGGTCTTTTGCTGTATTAGACAAATGGGAAAGTTTTTACAAATGCCAAACACGACAGCTTGTCTTACAGATATAGTTCATAAAGCACTGTACTTATTTCCTAGCAAACATCACACTGACCCTTGACTAACAATTTTTAACAGGAACTTAAGTGTTCAGCAATTAATATACTAAAACATGTTCATGAAAGGCAACAAAAGTGTACTAAACAATCAAAGCAGAGGTTGGATTAACAGTTTGGAAATACTCTAGCCATTTGCACAACAGTTTCAAAAAGACAGGAAATTGCTGCATGGTCTGTTATAAATCTTTTAAGTGTAATATGTTTTTTTCAAAAAAAAAAAAAAACCACTAAAATGCCTTAACACTGCTCAAGGAGGTGTTTTTTGTTGTCATTGTTGTTTTTTGTTTTGTTTTTTATCAGCTGCCAATAATTGTCCTTATCCAACTACAAAAATGTTTCCAAAAAGTAAAATTCAGATTTCTTCTCCCTCCTTAGTATCTAAAGTTCCTCATTCCATAAAGGTAACTTCTGTCATGGAACAATTAAGGAAATATGAAGAACAGTGAACAAAGAGCAACCCAAAAGAAAGGGGGGGGGGGGGGGGAGGGGGGGATTAAGAATGCTGCATGTCATCAATTGTTACTCATTTTTGAGCCAAATTAAATATTTGTAATGTAATCTATGTATTAGTACTTACACTACAGTTTAAAATAAACTTAACATGCAAGAATTTTATAACACCTTGCAACACCAATGATCAACAGTTAGATTTAAAATATATGACTATCAAGGTTCTTGCAGAACTTACCTGCTAATATTCAGAATTCATTAATAATTTTGATAATGAGTAACAGTCTATTTGTCTACTCTGTATTTGACAACATATCACAGTCTACTTTCGCATTAAATCAGGATCTAAACCACCAGTGTGTTCTATCACTAGCTTTTTCCACAGCAAACTACTTATTACAAAGAAAAAAGGTGCAAAATTACCTCTGGATGAGCCTAGCCTGGAAAGTGATGAGCGCCGAAAGGATGGATAACCAAAGTAACTAATATCTTCTGAAAACATAGCATCAGCATCAATAATGACACTTGGGTGAGCAGAATGTATGTCAGCATCCAGAAGAGACATAAGATCCTCTATAAGAGGAGACAAGGGTCTTAAGTGAATAATCAGCTACTTAAAACATCAGCTAGAGAGACCATCAACTAAACAAATATCAAAACAAAAAAATCCTATCTATTAATTTAATTTCTGCTCTTCAGATTCACCAGTGCAAACTCATGTGCCTCCTATGCAACCACATTTACAATCAAGCTTGGCGGACTAGTGAACAAAACCAGTTTCCCCTACAAGAACTGCTCTGTCACTTATCTAACCACATTTCCCACACAAGACTTGCCCAAAATACATTTTTCTGTAACCCAGAAATTCAAACTTTAGCCTGTCACTTGAAAGAACACAGCGCTAGGATAAGATAAATGCTAGGATAAGATAAATACATATACGTACATGAGCACACACACTCATGCACGTATCGCAGAACTCCAAAGGTGACCTAGAATTGAGGGAGGACAGAATTGATGGCGAAAGCTGGCCTTCACAAAGCCACGTCTTTGATGTCAAAGACTGTACATTCCTCCATGGAACGTTTCTCTCGGAGAATGACATACTTGTTCAATTCACAGGCTAATAGCTTGCAGCTCTCACTACAAAGCTTTAAATGGTAGCTACATTAAGAACAACAACAAGTTATCTGGAAAAAGCACCATTTTTTAATACCATACAGTTTAAAAAAAAAAACAAAACAACCAAAACCAAAAAGATGAACTTAAATACTGTGACTGCCCTAGCTTCTGTTAGAAAACTTGAGTTTCTCTGAAGTACTGATCTTCGTTAAAAGTATGAAACAATTTCCTTCCATTTACTAAACTATAGCTACTATCCACATACAAAAGAGGCTACTGAAAATTCACGTAATTTATTGAAATCCAGCAATATGAATCGACAAGACAACTAAACCTGACTACCATCTTGCTACCACAGAAAAGGCAGTCCTACTTCCCTCCTTCACCCCTGTGAAGGCAGGCACCTCCTTGGGGAAAGGTGGAATTTCTAAGCCTACAACTAGCACATTCTCCCAGCTTGAAACAATACTTCATAGGGTATAGAAGTCAGGTGGGAAGCAATCTTCAGACTGACTTAACTGGGTAGTCAACAGAGTCCCAGAGGTGGTGCCTCACCACATGCAGCAAAGCTGACTGAACACTACTGCTGCCAAAGGAGACAGTCCTGCCCCTTCCCAAACTTTCAAGCAGATCTAACTAAAACAACCAGGCTCCCCAAACTAAGTTTCAGCTAATCCATGCAGGCACACAAACCTCATCACCATGCAAGAGAATGGCAGGATAGCTCTTTCTGGCAGCAGGACAACCTCATCTGCTTAAACCACTCGTGAAGCTAGCAGGAGGCTATACACAGAGTCCCTTCAAGAAATACAGGAGCACATATAATTTCAACACATCCAGTTCTCAACCTTTACCTCATCATAAGCATAAAACAAAATAGTGTCTAGAAATGTAAGTCTGAAGTTAAATAAAAGCATTCTTAACAGTAGGAACTGATTATTATAGGTCTTTTTCTCAGTGTCTGGAATGGTGGGGGCGGAACGGAACACAAAGGAGAGGATATCCAAAAACTGAAAAGGAGCCAGAAGTCCACAGTTAGAGCCAATATTAACTCACTTAACTGTTCCATTTACTGATATTGAAAGTGTTAAGAGACTTCCACATCCCTGCACATCAGAATATTCATCCTTAAATTTCTAAACTCTAATCTCCAGGAAATGTAACACATACCAACTACAACCAGCTGTCCCCAGAAAAACAGCACTGTAACTAGTGAGCGCTGTGGAGTTTAAAGTAAGCAAGACCTGCACGAATGCTTTTTGCATTAAGTAATCAATCCACTCAAGCATAGTCTGTGCTTCTAAAAGCACACTATTTGGGACTCGATGGCTCATGTAGTACATTTTAGGAAGTCATCCTTGACAGACTGCTTGGAAATCCTAGTAAAAAAATCCAGATTTGGCAAACAGGCTCTGTCTTAGTGAAACACTTCAGATGCTTGGAGTGGCCTTATCCTGCTTGCTACTTTATCTATTTTCCACTGGCTTTCCGCAACAATAAAGCAGCAGTATACCTCTTCCTAAGAGTGTCAGCTTGTAAGTACTACACTTCAAGATGTGGAAACACTGCTGAGACTCTGTTGTACCGCTCAATATTCACACACTGCTCCTCTTTCCTCCTCCCACCCCCACCACGGCCATCTCTTCCTAGGTAAGCTCCAACTTCTCTTACAGTCTAGCAACTCCTTCTCATTGTTTTGGTCACTATCCAGACAAAAATTGCAAAAAACTTTTATCTCTTTTTAGGAACAGGATTGGCCAGTACAGAAAAGAACTCTGCAGCCTCATTCAAAACAGACATTCCTTTCTTTTTTTTTTCTTCTTTTTAAGATAAGCTAAGCTAGAAATCCTCTTGACAGAAAAAACACATTAACTTGTGACACACACACACCTTCCACCATGTTAGGTATCTTGAGTTTAGCCATGTTTCCAAAAAGGAAAGTAACAATTCAAGCCACCAGACTTAAGAACAAAAACCATGTGTTTTTTGGCTAACTGTGCATTAAGACAAGTGAGGAAATGAAGCCTTTCCTTTCCCTCTTACTTCAGCTTCAAATCAGATTTTAATTTTATTCCAATATTTCTGTAAGACATCCCTCTTCTTCCATTTTTCTATACCAGCAAAGGTGCTAAAACCAGTAGAGATAGGAGCCAAATCCACTCCCCTTCAAATATCACTGGAATTTTTTTAGTGCTGTGAAAACACAGATACTGCAAGGCTACATTCAGTTTAAGAATCCAGGGGAAAAAAAAACACACAAACATTCTCCGCGGCTTTATTTTCCTGTTCTTCAGAAAAATCCCATGGGATAATATCATTCATCCCTTGTACCGTGTTAGATCAGAATCAGACGGCACCCTTCACATTTAGATGTGACAATTCTGATCAGCCTATTTAGGTAAGAAAGTACTTATGATTCACTAGTAAATACCATTGAAAATGGGAAGGAAAAGGATATCCAGCACAGGGACACCCCCCTCCCCCAAAGAAAACCCCATTAAAAAAACCAAGTTCCAGTATGCATGTAAGCAGCAATTCAAGTACTGAGAAAATTTTTGTTTTCAATAGCTCCATGCATAGCATTATCACTGGATTCATTAACGGAAAGTATTGCCTAGATCGATTCTGATCGCAAGTTGAGCTCACATTAAACCTTTTCCCTTAAGGGAACAATCGTAAGTTTTCTCTGCTCATCTCAGCTGCATATTTTTATGAAATATTCAAGAATTCAATGTCTTCAGTATCTCCTCCTCTTTCAAGTTTGGATTAAATTGGCAAAATTGTGACAGTGAAGGGAGAGAAACATGTATTTTGTTCCCTAGGAAACCAGACTCAAACAGAACTCCAGAACTCATTTCTTGATAAGATATATTTATTCAAAACATTATCCAACTTGAAGTTCATCTTAATTAAAAAAAAAAAAAAAGAGGAAAACCAAACCACACCAACAAAACCAAAGAAAAAACATACACCTAATTTTTTCCCCAAAGGCAAGTCCCCAAACTGATCCTACACTATGCTCCAGTTCCCATCTCCCCTCACTGCAGGCCAAGACAGTAAGTACTGCTGCAATACCAGCCAGTATCCTCTCCTTAAAAAAAAAAAATTATTTTCAAAACAAGTGCATCTCAGTTCCAAAATCCAAAGTAGTCTGGATGTTGCCAAACCTATGTTTCACAAGTCCCACTAGCAAGAACCCACTATATCATGCAGAAGTTACTGAGCAAACATGCACACATCTGAACTACACAAAGTATTTTAAACTTCTACAGAACCTCTATACAGAAGACTAACACAACATAAAGCCCAGAAGAAACCTCTAATACAACCTGGTATGAGCTGGAAAATTTATCTAGAGACCTTCAAGTCTTTCCTATGCTAAACATTCTTGTTCTATGTAGTTTTTACCTTGGTTATTTTCCTTATGTACTTGTTATATATCAAATGAAACCACATTCCTCTCTGCTAACTATCATAAAACAAAAAAAAAAACAGGACTAGAGAAGTCAAAAATTAAAATACATAAAGGGTCCAAAAATAAATATCTAAGGGACACTTATTGAAGGCAATCTGTACAAAGAAGTAAAGTTCTGCTCTTCACTTAAGACATTTTGAAGAATTCGGGAAGAACTGAGACAAGTTTTTTATTACCTTAAAAAAATTCAGAAGCATAACCTTTACAATACTAACCAGAATTATCACAATTGATATATTAATGAAATTATGCTTTATTAAACAAGAATTTATTAATTTCACAGTGGTTTTAAGTACCTTAGCTTTTTAAATTTATTTTTATTTTTAAAATCAAGTGTAAATGACTCTTAGCGTTTTAAAAAAAGCTTCTCTGCCTTGGAAGGCTTAGAGGAGTAACCCCTAAATTTAAGGGTCACAAAGCACCAGACATGCAGAAGGGAGAAAATAAAAATTAGCATATGCTTTTAATCAAAATGCAAGAACCTCAAAAGTCCTGAGGCAAAAGCAGTCTTGTCATTTGCTTTTTTTTTGTGCTTGGAAGGAACAAAATCAAAAAGTTTTAAAGCATAATTTGACATAATTGGAGAAAAAAAAAAAAAAAGAAAAAAGTAGTTCTTTATCTTTCAGAATCATTTATAAAAAACTAAAAATTTAATGCATATAGCATTTATCAGTTATCTACAGTTTTCTTTTATGACCTCTGATGTTATAGTTCCAAAAGAGCATTCAGAGGCAAGATGACAAGTCAAAGTAAGAACAGTGCAAAGTTTCTACAGCAAAAGACTTAAAGTTTCTGTGTAGTTCTGAGGGACAGAACATTGGTATTTGTCCAGGGAGCTATAGGAAAGTTTCTCTGGCCATTGAGTTTTCCTGAAAATTAGCCTGCGTGGTTATGTGACACAAGTGAGGGCTGGTAATTTGTACTATTTAATGTACTAACAGTAGAGTCATGACAGCACTGACTAGTGTTCAGCTAGACTTTCCCTA